ACCTGCAGCTCCACGCGGTGCTACACCACACGTCAGAGTCTGAATGGCGTCACGGTTATGTCTCCACATCCCGTCAAGCCTCGTGTGATCGCAGGCGGGATCCATGCACGGGAGGGAGTTTACGGACATTCTGTGATGATCTGCTGTTGGAACGGGCCTGGCTGGGAGGGATAGGTCATTGTGGGTATGACTAGGAAGGAGGCAGTTCCCCTCCAGCCCTCTACTGATGTCCACCTGCTTCCTGTCCACCACGCCCTGAGCAGCTCTTCTCCACTATATCTCTTTGCCACCCCATCCTGGCTTCAAGCCAGCTGACTACAGACTAAAAAGGTGAGCTAAAATAAGCCTTTCTAGGATTGTCCAAATAGCTCAGCAGATTAAAGTGCCTACAAGCAGCCTCAGAGACCAGAGGTTCGATCCTTGGGCCTGCCATGCTGGCTCCACTCCCAGAAGCAAGCTGAGATTGTGAATGAACCTGGGCATGGTGGCACACGCCTGCAAGTCTAGCTCTTGGGAGGCTATAAAGAGCCAGATCACTATGAGTCTGATCTAGTAGTGAGACCCTAAACACCCTGTAAACCCTTCCCTAAAATACAAATACAAATACTACAACAACTACTAATAAGCCTTTCTTCCTTTAAGTTGTGGGTATCATGTTTTGTCTCTCAGTGACCTAAAAAGTAGCTAAAGTACAAGGTCAATATTAACTTTTGTGGGCTCCTGGTGGAAGAGTGCCCTTTCTGATGATAATCTCTTGCCAATATAAAGACAAACGAGTGCCCTCACTTTTGGAGATACTAAGCAACATTCACTGCCCAGCCACTGGGCTTTCTTTTATGGTTTTAACTCTCCATTTATATTTTTAACTTAGAAGTGCTTATGAGTGGGCCATTGAGCAGGGAAAGATTCTGAAGATGGGGGTGCTCCACTTTGTGCTACTCACATTCAGTAGTGGTGACAGCAAAGAGACAGTTGGGCTCTGCCAACACCTGCAACCTAGAAAAAGCAGAATGTTCCCTTGCTTATCGTTAGGATAGATGGTGCTTTTTAAAATAAAAAGTTCAGGTAGCTATTTCCCAGCACACTAGAGAACCTTAAGTAAAATACATTCAATGCAGCAGAAGAGTTAAAAATACCATTTTTATGTTTCTAACAAAAATTAGCCAGTAGAACCTGCAATGTCAACACATGGGAGGCTCAGGCAGGAGTACACTGTGAGGCTGAGACCAGGCCAGGCCATGTGGTGAGTCCAAGGCCAGCCTGAACTACACAGCAAGACCCTGTCGCAATGCTTCCTTCTCAAAATTAGTCAGTAGAAAAGGCTGTCACTGTTCCTTTGCTTACATCGCTGAGTCCAGGACTAGGAGTCTCAGGCTGGCCTCTTCCCTGCTCTAAATTCATAACCAACAGTGGCCTGCTGGGACTTTAACAAGAAGAGCCTCCAAACCCTGAAGACAAGCTTCATGGGAGAAGGGCTTTCTGGATCACTTATTCTTTTATTTTCCTTTTGGATTATTTTGAAGTCGAATCATAGATTGTAGGACCAAAATGTTTAGTAACCCATTATTTAGCAAAATTGTGGCAGCTGGTGCCAAAAGAAATCTGTAATTTACACATTCATACAAACATAAAAATAAAACTATCACATGGATTTCAGTGGCAGAGCTGAGCGGAACTGCTAATTATCTTAGTAAGTCGATGAGCTTCCTCCTTGGTGCCTGTTCTTTTTTACCAAACATTCAAGTAGAATCATAACTACTTGTTTCCCTACAGAAAGTGGGCCAAATTCTGGGAGGCAACAAATAGTCATATTTCTAAGAATTTTTAAGGTGAGTTTGCGCTCGTGATTTTACGGTTGCAATTCTTGTATTCACACCATTTTGACTTACGTTTATTGTGGCAAGCAATACTTCCATGTATGCGCAGGTGTGAAATGCAGGGGTGAATCACGGCCTTAGCCTGGATCCTTGGTAGACGGGCTTAGTGAGGGTGAATCACGGCCTTAGCCTGGATCCTTGGTAGACGGGCTTAGTG